ACTTGCTTAGCGTCGATTTTGTTGCGATATGAGGTTTTGGGGCACTTGATCTTACGATTTCATTTTTTAGTATTGCTTTCTTAGTTTTTTAATCAACAAATATTGATATTTGAACCTAGATCAAGATCATATTTTAATTCCTTGCATGATGTCAACTCATGTACTCTCTTGGCTCCACTTGCTCCATCAGCTTTTACTCTAAAACTAACTAGTCTATCTCCTAGCTTAATTAACTTGACTTAAATTACTTTTCATCTCTTGCAGCTTTCTGAGATATTTGACGGTATTGTCGATCCCGTAATGCAGTCCCAAGGCTTTTGCTGTGGTCGTGCGTACTTCTATCAGCCACATGTTCTTATATGTGTTACCGCAAAATGCTGCAGTATATACAGAGACGCTGTTTACTACCGTTACTTAAATGAGTAGGATTGCGTTTACGCTTTTTGTTCTTCACATGCATATCTTTCAACTAATTTTTTCTAATTTTTAAACAGAGATAAGCGACCAGGCCTCCACTGTCCAAAATATGTAGTATGTGAGAAGTGCTACAATGAAAACGCCGAACAGATACCCATTGCCGAAGATCATAATTGCACCGTGTAGGTCTCTTTCAGGAACATGTATTAACATTATATATCGTAGTATTATTATATTACGTTTTTTAATCAACTTATTTATTTTATAATTTTCATTTGAATAGAAATGTAAGTAAGTCCCTTTGGGACAAGTGCAAAAACAACGTCAAGGAAAAAGAAACTTTTGTATTCTGTCGCGAGTGCAAGCGCAAATGGCACAAAGTCTGCGCAATTCATATGGATGAGATCTGGCCCGAAGGTTTTATTTGTCCTGGTTGTGAGCGCATCTATACTGTACGTCGTCGTGATAATCGCTTTACAGCACGCAAGCTGCCAACTTGTAAACTAAGCAATTTTCTTGAGAAAAGAGCCAATGACTTTTTACGGAAGAAGGAATGTCATACTGGTGATGTTATAATCAGAGTACTCGCCAGTGCCGACAAAGTTGTTGAGGTAAAACCAGGCATGAAAGCTCGCTATTGTGAAACTGGCGAAATGCCGGAGACATTTCCATATCGTGTTAAGGCTATTTTTGCCTTTCAAGAAATTGATGGACAAGAGGTCTGCTTTTTTGGTCTACATGTGCAAGAATATGGCTCTGATTGTCCACAACCAAATACACGCCGCGTATACATTGCCTATTTGGATTCTGTCTATTTTTTTCGGCCCAAACAGTATCGTACTGATATTTATCACGAAATCCTTGTCGGCTATATTCAATACGCCAAAAAGCTAGGCTATTCAATGGCACATATATGGGCTTGTCCTCCTAGTGAAGGCGATGATTACATATTCCATGCACATCCTCCAGATCAAAAAATTCCTAAACCAAAAAGGCTTCAGGAATGGTACCAAAAAATGCTTAAGAAAGCTCTTTTCGAGAGAATTGTTGTGGATTACAAAGATGTATTTACTGATGCTGTCGAGACAGGTCTACTTTCTCCAACGGAGCTGCCATATTTTGAAGGAGATTATTGGCCTAACACTTTGGAAGAAATTTTGAAGGTAATCTTACCTTCTTAATGCATTTACTGTTTTTGTATAAAGTATTTACTTATGAGGATACTTTAATCATTTCTGATACATTATGCTTGCATTCATATGATTATATTGTAACTAAATAATTATGTCAAATACCTTCCACTTTTATTGACCCATTTCCTTTATGCCGTTGATTTTTGGAATAGTGTTTACTTCTATTTCTTGGCCCCTCACTGGCTTGATTGAGTAAACTTTGAGGCTTGACATGGATCATATTGGCTTATTGCCATTTTTATACACTTTTTGTCTGAAATAATAAAAGCCCTGTCTTAATGCCAACCATCATCCACTAAACTCTATTACATGAAGTAATAACATTGTGAGTTTACCTAACTTCAATTTTTCCCTCGCAGTATCTTTCTTACATGCTAGAGCTTAGTTTATTATAGTAGATAACGAGATCATGCCAAATTAAGGCTGAAGTATGATAATGAATGGTTTATTCATACAAAGCCATATATAGCCACACAAATCGCCTATTTACTAAACTCTCCGCATTCGAAATGGGCGAAAGTTGAGTAAAAATTATCACAAAGTGGCGCAATATGATGCAAAACCTTCCCATATCAACTCCTGAAATAATTAGATTGGATAAACATATCAAATGTCTTGAAAATGACTTCACTGCAACACTGTTCAGTATAAATTATGGGAATGCTAGATTAAAATATGGTTTTCTTTATTTAAAGATATTGACTATTCTATCTAATAAACTAAATGAAATGAAGAATTGGACTCATAACCAAATGTATCAGTAAATTTTATCTTGCATTAACTGGTTTAATTTTGGTCAAGTATGTTGGTATATGAAAATGATTTGTTAGTAAATTTCAAAGTAAATCTTACCGTACTTGATAAAGCTTTTTGATTTTCGCACAGCTGTCAAGCGCCCTTTCATTCCAAAGACCAATTTATTGATCCTAAGAATTACGTCGATTATGATTACTTTATGATTTATTCTCTGTTAAGATTCCTAATCCGATGACGCATGCAGCGATTTTTCACGAACATTCTAAATACTATTTCTTGATATCTAGTGAATTTAGAGGGAAAAATATGGCGTCCATCCTATCATGATTCAGCCTATTATTGTAAATAGCTCTATTGCTCGATGCATCACATCTTGTGTTTTG